GAGAGAGAGGTGTGTGCTAAGGGAGAATTGTGTCCGAGAGAGAGGTGTGTGCTAAGGGAGAATTGTTTAAAAAGAAAGAGTCTACAGCTCAGTTTTTGCAACTAGATTTACAAAAAAAAAAGTCAATCAAAATTAAAAGTTAATTATAACAAACGTTCAACATTATCTTAATTGGAAATATGGGGAAATCCTCATTTATGTCTAGAAGGATCTGATTTTTTATTTTAATTGCACATAACAGGCTGTTTCTGTATAACCCATTTGGTATGTGAATACGTTACAGTTCTAGTAATGACAGCACTGTTTATATGGATAAAATATCCACGTCTCCCTCTCTTGTGTGATTGGAAACATTATCTGGTAACCCCTTAGGGCATAAAACCAAAACATCTGGGTATTACATATTATGCACAGAAGATGACATCAGCAAGTTGAAGAAACACACTATTCTGTGCCCCACTCATATGACAAATGTCGAATTTTACTATAATGTTTGCTTAAATTGAAAAAAAGAAAATGAAACAGATGAAAATTTGTTGACTGTAATACACTTCAGGACACTAGATACTGTTATGCTTTGGTGGTTTCTTTTCCCTAGTATCTGTTCTTTCTTAAAAATATTTTATTGAGTTTTTGGTAAAAGTTTACACAGCAAGTTATCTTCCCATTTGACGATTTCCACACAAATTGTTCACTGACATTAGTTACAACCACCAGCTATCTGACTTTCCCTAGCCCAGAATCCTAAGTCATATAGCTTTTAGGTAACATATGGCCAAACTTAGTAAGATTTGCAAAGTCCAAAGAGGGACAGTACAAAGGAAGTTGGTTCTTTGAAAGTAATTGTAGACAGAAGGGCTAGGTTCCTAACTCCTTCCAGTATGAATAGTTGGTACTCTTAAGGCATAATGTACTTCAAACTTTTGTTAAAGGGACAGTTTTACAAGCCATTTTCAACATTTAATACTGAAATGGTTGGTCAAGTAACTTTAAGCATAAATATGTAGATTTCCTTAGCAGTCCTGTTGTTGGCTTTCTCAAAAGACAAACTCTGAATGTCTTTGTAAAAGATTTGCTTCATAGTCATAAAGTATATGCAAAATTAGTTGAGGTAGATTTTTATATGTTCTGATTTTTTTAAAACAAATTTTTTTCATCTTAGAATAATTTTATATTTACAGGAAATTTTCAAAAGGTAATAGAGTTCCTGTATATGCCTCACTGAGTTTCCCCTAATGTTAACATTTTACATAATCATGAAATGTTGTTCAGAAGTAAAGATGCTAACATCAGTAGGTCTGGGATGGATCTCAAAATTCACATCGCAAACAGTTCCCAGATGTTGCTGATACTGCTGGTCCCAGAGGCCACAGTTTAGAATGGATCTGGGTAATAAGATGTGGCGCTGCAGGTCAATGCGCGGGACTGCAAAGTCAGTTGGAACTGCAAGGTTGGCAGTTCAAGCTCACCAGCTCTGCCTTAGAAGCCCTAGACAGGGTCATTATGGGTCAGAACTAAATAGACAACACTTAACAACAACAGAGATGACTAACATATATTGAGAGCTATGGTCTAGCTATTGTTGAAGGAGTTTAGCATTTACTGTCTCAGAAACTTGATGGGAGTAGGTTTGGTACCCATTGTTTAGAGAAGAATTTGAAGGTGTGAGAGATTAAGCTGCATTACTTGTTCAGTGACTCCCAGCTAATAAAACAGTGAGGACAGGATTGGACCCAAGCCGCCTACCTGTCAATCTCCAGCACTTAACTGTTTTACTGTGGATATCTATTGATTTGGTGATGGTGATTATGTGCCACTGAGTCAGTTTTGACTCATAATGACCCTGTTTAGGGTTTCCAAGGCTATAAATCTTTACAGGAGCAGAAAGCCTCATCTGTCTCCCATGGAGCAGCTGTTAGATTCAAACTACTGATATTGCAGTTAGCATCCCAGCTCATAGGCCACTATAATACCAGGGCTCCGTAGCTATTGCTTTACAAAGCTACAATTACAAATTTATAATTCTGAAAATGCAACAATATGCATTATATTTATTTATCTTCAGGTAGACAAAAATTTATTTTAAAATGCATAACTACATAGGCTATAAAAGTAATAAAACCAAAAATACACCCATTGTTGTCAAGTCTTACAATTCATAGCAATGCTATAGGGCAGAGTTGTTAAGTGTAGTCTTGTCAATTCCTACTCAACAATGACCCTGTGCACAACAGAACAAAACACTGCCTAGTTCTGCACCATCTTCATTGCTAAGCTTGAGCCCATTGCTGCTGCCACCATGCCCATCGTTTCCTTGGGAGGCGGTCTTTCTCTTTTTCTTTCACATTCCACTTTATCAAACATGATACTCTTCTCTAAGGACTGGTCCCTCCTGATAATATGTCTGGAAGTATGAGAAATGAAGTTTCAGCATCCTGACTTCTAAGGAGGCTTCTGGCTGTACTTCTTCCAACAATGATTTGACAGTTCAGCATACTTTTAATATTCTTCTTCAACACCATAACTCAGATGCATCAAGTTTATGGCCTTCCTTATTCATTGTGCAACTTTTGCATGCATATGAGGCTATTGAAAATACCATGGCTTGGGTCAGGTGTGCACCTTAGTCCTCAAAGTGACAACTTTGCTCTTAAACACTTTAAAGAAGTCTTGTGCAGCAGATTTACCTAATGCAGTATGTCATTTGATTTCTAGACTGCTGCGATCATAAGTGTTGATATCTAAGCAAAATTAAGTCTTTGACAACTTCATTGCTATATCTGGGGTTTCCAAGACTAAATCTTTACAGAAGCAGATCCCATAACTATCTCCCATAGGTGGGAGTCCCTCTAAAGAAATCAAGAAAATGCAAGGGTCTGGATGCTCTTTAGTGGCCCCCCAGACTGCTTTCACTCCATGGGAGTCATTCCAGGCGTTGCCTTCATTTTCAAGGTGTCCCCTCCTAGTCTGCAGCCTAGCTCCTGGCAGCTTAAACCACTCTGGGCCTGGGTACTACCATGAGACTCAACCTGGGACAGCTTGGGAAACCCTGTCAGGCCTGGGCTAGCTCAGCTCCCACATAACATCTTGGCTTGTAGCCTGCACTCTTCAGTGACACCAGCTGGCACCTTCTGATCTGCTCCTTACCCCGACAGAGTTTGGGCTGACAATAAATTAACTGTGTTGTTAAGTGCCAAGTTTCCAATTCATAGCAATCCTGTATAGGGGTTTTCAAGAAGCAATTGGTGGGTCTGAACCACCAACCTTGTGGTTAGTAGTCCAGTACCACAACTGGACTCCAATCACTCCGTTAGTGTAAAATAAAGGGTTCTGAGAAAACAAGAAAATTAAGGTGAAAAAAAATGACAAATTCTGTCTATGGCTTTCAGGAAAGGTCAGCCAACTGGGACTTGGATAGAGGGAGTGTTTTCAGCACTCAAACAGAAAAGACACTGAAAATTAAGCAAAAACAACAGGAAGTTCCCTAGTGTTCAGATAACTCATTCAAACTGGATAAAGTCCAGAGTGCAGATGCTGTAACACTAAATCTCATTCAATGGATCAAGATTTATTGAACACCTGCATGCAGAGCAACTGGCCTAGGTAATGAGACCAAAATAAATTGAGTGTCTTTCAATGAGCCTAAGAAGAGAGTATTAATAAAAATAATAACCAGTATTTATTGAACTCTTACCACTGTTCTGAGTGTTTTACAGCTACTTAACTCTCACCACAGCCACCTTAGGAGGGAAATACTGATATACCATGCCTTAACTGCAAAAGTAAATTACTAAGAGATGTAACAGCCTTGCAATATTTTATGTATCTAATGAAATGAACAGAATAAAATTCTTCTTTGATTTCATATTCTATTTAATGACCAGGGAAAACTAAACCACAAGCACACACAGGAAGTTTTCAAGTTAGGTTTTGTTTTTCTCTCCCAAATAATAAATGATGTAAGCATTTATGTGACAGATGCTTTAAACTTACTATGATACTTAGTATCATTTCTATTTTTTAATGTGCTAACAAATTGTTCTTTTCCCCAGTCTGAAGTTTGGTTAGTTTTTAAATGAAAAGATCAAGAGGAGTTAAAAAGATGAGGCCACATTTCCATCCTATCTTAAAAGAATTGCTCATTGAACTGTCTTACAACATAGCCAATCATCTACTAAAAACCCAAACCAAACCCACTGCCTTCCGGTCAGTCAATTCCTACTCAGAGCAATCCTATAGGACAGCATGGAAATGCACCTTAGAGCTTCCAAGATGATAAATCTTTGTGGAAACTGACTGACTGACTGCCTTGATCTTTCTCCAGCTGAGCTGCTGGTGGGTTTGACTGCTCTGATCTTCCCATTAGCAGCCCCAATGCTTAACCCACAGAGCCAGCAGGGCTCCGGCAACCACCCAAGTTGCTACATGAAATCCTAAATTGAGTGCCCAATTGCACCAGGTTGCCACCATTTGAGCGACTTCTTGTAGGTGATGACAATATATGCTGCCTGAAGAAAAGCTAGGGTCTATCCCTAAACAGAAAGATCAGAGGTTTTAGAGTTAGGAAGGTCTGGAGATAGATCGCTGAAACAACAGCCAGTGAAAAGTCTACGAATACTCTGACACACGTGGGATCCATCGAGTTGGAATGGTTTACAAGGCAACTGGTTGGTGTTTATGAAAGCCTGACTAGAAAATCCGGGATTTGCTTTGTCCCAAATCCCCCATGCAAACCAAGAACATCTAAAGTAATTATTACAAGTCTTCCAATTAACTCGCACTATGGAAAGCACCACAGTGAACAAAGGAAAACACTATGATTTTAGGAAATCGGGAAGAGAGTACATTTGGGACTAAGGGAACTGAGTGAGCACTAGGTGGCCTGGGGCTCCCTACACCCGAGCCATCGTTTGTCCTTGGGGTGGCAACTCGCATTTCCCCAAAGGCCGGGCTCCTCTCCGGGGACTGGCGACCGCGTGCCCGCAGCGCCTGCGGGGAAGCCGAGGGTGCGTGGGGCGGAGACGGGCGGAGGAAGGGGCGGGGGTTGCGGCCCCCAGTTCCAGGAAGCAGAGTTGGTCTGAGCCACCGTCCTGTGCGCTTTGCAGCTATGAGCTCAAGGGGAACACGGACTGCAGGTAGGAGGGGGCTCCGAAGCTAGACTGCAGGCTTCCACTTGGCTGGACCGGAGCAAGAAGCTGCTGGGCTTGGAGGGAAGTGACCAAGTCCGGAGGGATTGGGGGTGGGGTGAGGGAAGTAGTTAAGCTTTTTAATCCAGAAAAACAAGTCAGGAGTTTAGTTGTCCTCTCCTCACGGATCAGGGTAGCGGCGCCCTGTGGCCGTCTTTGGGCTAGCCTGGCCGCCTTTGTCCTGGGGCGTGGATTTCTTTCCTGGCATTTAATCTTTAAAAACCCGGCCCCGCCCGTCCTTGTGTTCCCTAGGCCTATAATCTGGAAAAACTGGCTTTTAGAGGGTATGTCTTGTTTTGTACTTTAACTTTTAAGTAAACAGAAGTGGTTATAAGACGTGATGTGGCGCTGTAGGATAAGCGCAGGACCACAAGGTCGGCGGCTCAAACTCACCAGCTCCTCTTTGGAAACCCTATACTGGGTCGCTGTGCATCGGAACTGAGTGGGCTGAATTTAACAACAGTGGACTAATGGAAGCATAAGCAACTGTCCGACTGCCTGGGCAGAGGCTGCTGGATATCCCTGCACCTAAACTACAAACAAAAGCCAGACCTTGGTGGGCAGTGTCGTTTCAATAACTTTTCTCAACAAAATAAACAACTGCTAAATTCTGGTGGTGCGCTGTAGGATAAGCACTGGATTGCTAACCATAGGTCGACAGTTCAAACCCACTAGTAGTTCCATGAGAGAAAAAGGAGGTCTGCTCCCGTAAAGATTTATAGCTTCAGAAACCCTACCCAGGGTCGCTGTGAGTGAAAGTCAGCACAGTGGCAATGGGGCTTTATGGGGTTTAATTTCTTATTTTCCACCATATGCTTTGTCAGTTTGTGTGCAGTGGTGACTTTTCATGTTGCTGGGATGCTGGAAGCTATAGCACCCACATTTCAAATATCAGCAAGGTCACCCGTGGTGGGCAGTTTCAGAGCTTCTAGACTAAGACTTACTAGGAGGAAGTGACAGTCCACTTTATGAACTGTTGTTACGGCCGTCTAGTCGGTTCTGAGTCTTAGCGACATAGGGTTTCTTAAGAGCGGCTGGTGGGTTTGAGCCACCAACTTTGTGGTTAGCAGCCCAGTGCTTACCCTACAGCGCCACTCCAGGAGTCTACTTTATGAATAGCAGTGGAGTTTGGTCTTCTCTTGTACATAGGATCGCTGTGAGTTAAAACTTAAACAATGGCGCTTAGCGACAGCACATAACTAATTTTAGAACATTCTTGCTGTCACTTATTATTTTCCTGGTGAAGTTTAGAAAACTCAAGTGGAAAAGGATTGAAATGCTAATAGCAAAATGCTGTTGCAATGGGTTCAGGTGTGGCAACCGTAGTAAGGTTGGCCCAGGATCGGGCAGTGTTTCGTTCTGCTGTGCATAAGGTTGCTATGGGTCAGTACCAACGTGATGGCACCTAACAACAACATTGCAAGTGCCATTGTGTTGGTGGTTCTGACTCTTAGTGACCCTACATAGGGTTTCTGAGGAGTGGCTGGTGAATTGGAAATACCAACCTTGCAGTTAACAGTCCAGTGCTTATCATACCTCGTCACACCAGGACTCCAGTAGTGAACACAGAGTGCCATTTTGTTCTAATCTGTTCTAATCCATTAGTTGTCATCTAACCCATTCCAACTCATGGTGACCTCGTGTATGCAGAGTTAGGACTGCTTCATATGGTTTTCAAAGGTGTGACCTTTAAGAAACATCACCAGGCATGTCTTCCAAGGTACCTGGGAGTGGGTTTGAACCACCAAACTTTCAGGTAGTAACCATATCCGCCACCCAGGAATTCCTGCCTTTAGTTTAGATTTTTATTCTCTGCTGCACAAAACAAGCCTCAAGGCTTAAGTTGTGGAAGTCACCCTGGTCATAAGTGAAGTGGCCTTGCCCTGGAGGGACAGTGTAGGAGGCAGTGGCCATTTTTAATTTTGCAACAACTGGTGAGGGATGTGGAGCCAGGGCAGTTGTAAGGATGCCCTGCCACCTCCCTTGCTCACCATTGTTTTCTTCCCATTTTGGTTATTTGCTAGCCGACTTTCTTCTTTTTTTTCTCCCCTCCACCTCTCTGGTGTGTGCGCTAGGCAAACATAGCTTATTACATATAAGGATAAGTCAAGTATTGCTATAAAACCATAGAAAATGTATTAAGTAAAATATCACAATGTGAGGCTGTTTCTCCACATCTCCTCCATCTAGGTCTATATACTTCAGCAGGCATCGTTTCCATCTCTCTCGCCCTGGTGTGTGGCGCTGTGGGATAAAGCACTAGACGACAAGGTCAACGGCTCAGATTCACCAGCCGCTCCTCAGAAACCCCATACAGGGTTGTTGTGAGCCAGAACCGACCTGACGGCACTTAACAACAACCACTCCTCCCTCTAGGAGCCCTGTGGCATTATAGGATCATAATTGGACTCATAACCACAAGGTTGGGAGTTTAAACCTACAGCTGCTCCAAAGGACAAAAATAAAGCTCTTTTGCGGTCTTGGTGTGATACTGTAGGATACTGCAAGGTCAGCCGTTCAAACCCATCAACCCCTATACAGGGTTGCTATGAGCCAGAACCAACTCTAAGACACTTAACAACAACCGAACCCTCGAAGAGTTCTGGGCTCTTCAGTTTATACTGTTTACAGTCCTCAAGTGACTGAATCTTGTTCTGTTTTAAACATTCTTGTTTTGAGAACAAAAAAGTCTTGATGAGGCAAAATCAGGGCTATAGGGTGAATGGTGTAAGGTTTCCCAAGGAAATTCTTAAAGGATATCCCTTACTTACCCTAGAAAAATGAACAGGTACATTGTGATGGGAAAAAATTCCTTGGTACAGATTTTCTGGCCTTGTTTTCATCTGTGCAGTTTTCAACTTTTCTTAAAATGTCATAATAAGCCCAGGTAATAATGCTTTGTCCTTTAAGAAAATCTATCAAGATTACCCCTTTGTCAGGACCGTAGTCTTGGGGGACACCATGGTTAATTGGCTTAACATAGTCCACAAAGAAAATGTTCTACATCCTACTTTGGTGAGTTGTTGTTGTTATGTGCTGTGGAATCGGTTCTGATTCATAGCGACCCTGTTCAGGGTTTCCAAGGCTGTAAATCTTTACGGGAGCAGAATACCTCATCTTTCTCCCGCGGAACAGCTGATAGTTTCGAACTGCTGACCCTGAGGTTCACAGCCCGATTTGTAACCACTACGCTACCAGAGTAGTGACTGAGATCTTAAAAGTTCATGAGCTGTCATCTACGGTGCAGCTATGGGTCTCTCCCTGTGTGGAGAAAAAAAGAGTGGTGGAAATTGAAGATGAGATTAATGGACCATGTGACCATCATCTCCATGACCCTGATGCCAGAAGAACTAGATGGTGCCCAACTGCTACAACCAACTGCTCTGAAAGGGATCACATTAAAAGATCCTGGATAGGAGAAGATGTGGAACAGAACTCAAAAATCATAAAGTAGACCAGGCTTACTGGTCATATAGAGACTGGTGGAACCTTGGGACTATGGCCCTTGGTCACCCTTCAGGTCTAGAACTAAACTACACCCCCGTAACTCAGTTTTCAGCCAATAGAGAGGTATATATGAAGGAAATACTAATGAGGCACACACAGCACAGAATGGTCAACCATTTGAAATCAAAAAGGGCAAAATTTATCCAAGGACAAAATTCACAAGGATTGGGAAAGAGGAATGAAAACAAGAAACACAAGGAGGAAGTGAAATATAAATGATGTCACATTGAGGGGTTGTAATCATTGAGGTCACTGAGGTAAGGAGCTCTGGTAGCATTGGTTTTGTTGTTGTGAAGTGCCGTCCAGTCGATTCCGACCCACAGCAACCCTGTGTAGGGTTTCCAAGGAGCAGCTGGTGAGCTTGAACCACCAACTGTGCAGTTCAAATGCCTCTGCAGTCTGATGCATTAGCCCACAGTGCCACACTAGTGGTTACAAATTGGACTGCTAACCTTGGGGTCAGCAGTTCGAAACTACCAGCTGTTCTGCAGGAGAAAGATGAGGCGTTCTGTTCCCATAAAGATTTACAGCCTCGGAAACCCTGTACAGGGTCACTATGGGTCAGAACCAACTCCATGGCCCACCACCACTGCCACCAGTCACTGGTGTGGCACTGTAGGATCGGCACTGGACTATGAACCAAAAGGTTGGTAGTTCAAACCCACCAGCTACTCTGGAAACCCTATACAGGGTCACTATGAGTCGAAACTGATTCTACAGCACTTAAAAACATCATTGAGAGGAAGTGAACTGTATGATTTATTGAATGTAAAACTGATGATCTGATCTGTAAACCTTCACTCAATTTACAGAAAGTTTTTTTTCTTTAATTGCCCTGTTAGAGTCCCCAAAAAAGCAGTTGCCAGAACCTTCTGAGCTAACCTCTCTACCTTGAATTTAACTGGACCAGTTGTTCTCCTCAGAAGCCATTGTTTTGTTGGACCCTTTTTTTTTTGAAGGCACCCTAATGAGATAAGTGTCTTACTGATAGAACCTGTCTGTAGCCATCCATGAATCAGAGACATGTTTAAACATGTGTTGTTTGAAATAAACCTATGATTATATTAACTGTTTTGGAAGAAGTGCAGCCAGAGTGCTCCTTAGAGGCCAAGATGACCAAACTTCCGTCTCTCATACTGCAGACATATTGTCATGAGGGACAAGTCTCTGGAGAAGGATATCATGTTTGGTAAGGTGGAGGGTCAGAGGGAAAGTGGAAGACCCCTAATGAGATGGATTGGCCAAGTGGCAGCATCGATGGACTCAAGTGTGGCAACAGTAGTGAGGTTGGCCCAGGATCGGGCAGTTTTTTGTTCAGCTGTGCATAAGGTTGCTATGGGTCGGTACCAACTCGATGGCATCTAACAACAATATGAACTGGATCTGTAGTAGCAACACTTTTTGACTTGCCCTCATATAGTATTTCTAAGTAGGGATTACGG